TTAAATTGTTTGGACATTAGCAACTTAGAAACTTAAGTTTTTAGACAGTCAGAAAATTTAACATGTGCAAGTCTCTAATGTTTAGATTTTTGAAATTAATGCCCCTGGGGTGTATCTGGTGGCCATTCGTTTATTTGATTGCCATCACAACAATAGACTTATAAGAAGTGACTGAAAATAAAAATTCAATGACAGTGAATTATGATACATAGAACGCAAAGTTTTCAACCCAAAAATGAAATTTGTAAATTTGCTTTGAATTGTAAATATTTGTTTTGTTGTAATAAATATAACGGCCAAATATTGGTGTCTTAGAAAATCATTTTTTTCAACTTTTGGAATTTGACACTTTGCCCGAATCTCAAGTTCATTAATGCATTATGCAATAAAATAATGAATGGGCACCATATGCCACAGATTTAAACAGGCTGGACATTTGATTCGTCTCAATGTTATTCATCCCACAAATATATTTATTATATATATATTGTTATTATTTTGTAATTATTTTATTACGTACATCTTATTTTGTGGGCTTTCACGATTACAAAAACTGTCAGTAAGTAAATAGTAAATTCAAATAAAATAAAGTAAAACAAGTCATTGAAAATGACACAGTCCCCATTGAATTTTTGAAAGTTCTCTTTGTGTTCGTCATATTAAAGCGGAGGGGTTGTCGCGAGCGTGTCCTTGAAACTTGAATTCTAAGTGGCGTATACACATGTACAACAGATTGTTTATTTACATCAAAACACATGTTCCGTGTAGTAGTAATATGGCCAAAAATAAAAACAGCTGTTATTCGGCCATCTTTGATCTGATTATGAAACACACTGATATGTATGATGTATGTGCCAAATACGAATAAAAATGGTACATAAATTGTGGAAATATAGTAGTAAGACCAAAAAGTCAGATGACTGTCAATCGGCCATTGTCATGGACATGCATCCTAACATATATAAAGTACATGTATGTGCCAAATTTGAATGAAAACTGACAGAGCAGTCTAAGATACCACATAAAAAAAAACAAGATGCCTGCCAGTCGACCATCTTTGATCCAATTGCGAAATAAATCGTCATGGACATGTATCCTAACATGTATAATCTGTACCAAGTTTGAATGACAACTGACAAAGCATGTCCAAAATAAAATATTTTCAAAAACAAGATGGCTGCCAGTCGGCCATTTTGAATCAAATCGCTAAACCACTGCATGTGCATATGTCCCAAATAAGGTACTAGGCACATGCAAAGAATGAACAGAATCAGTCCACAGGATTCTGAAATACAACTCTGGACAGACTGACACACGGACGGACGGACGGACTGACAGACGGACAGACTCAGGAACTCGCGGATGGTTGGGGACATGTATCATAACATGTATGATCTATGTACTAAATTTGAATAAAAACTGACAAAGCATGTCCAAAATACGACATTTTCAAAAAACAAGATGGCTGCCAGTCCACCATCTTTGATCCAATTGTGAAATAAATCGTGATGGACATGTATACTAACATTTATCATCTATGTACCAAGTTTGAATGAAAACTGACAAAGCATGTCCAAAATACATTTTCAAAAAACAAGATGGCTGCCAGTCGGCCATTTTGAATCAAATCGCTAAACCACTCCATGTGCATACGTCCCACATAAAGTACCAGGCACATGCAAAGAATGAATGTACTCCGGATGGACGCACAGACGCATGGAGACCGAATTACAAGTCCCCGTTTTCGGACTTCGTTCGAATGGGGACGAATAAGCAGCCTCTCGGCTGAGATAGCCCGCTATTAGCAATGCACATTTCAATTAAAAAAATGAAGATATCATTAGAAAATGAACAAATCTGTCAGAGGTCTACCTGTAGTACCTATATGTATAGTATTGTTACAAGATAACCAATTCACAAAAATAATACACTTTGGATCCGCAACAAATAACAAACAACCCTTTTAATTTGTAATCTAGCTTGTGAATTCAACAAAATACAAGCAACACACATGTTCAGTATAAAACACCATATTTTATACAAGAAAGAATTAATAAAATAACAGTAAAAATTGACACATCAACAAGTATAAACAAGTTCAAGAGTTTGTACTTCAATTAAAAGTTCAACTTTCACTTAGCTTTCGTTTTCACAAGTTCATATACACACGACAAGAACCGTTTGTCACACTACTCCTTGCAGATTGTTCCTATCAAATAACATCGACTTATTACTCACAGAAAGTTTCAAAATCTCCCTCAGACTAGACAGCAACCAGGGAATTCACAGCAACCATCAGTACTTTCAACGAGGCATCAGCCAGATCAAATAAATGATCCTACTACAACTGTAGAAACATTACATTGCCCACTCCAATTGTGCTGACATCTATGATGCAGTTAGCAGCACACAAAACAAAGTTCGACCATCATAGCTAAATCTCACCATTTGACATCAGATTTCCTTCATAAACTCAGAGAAAGTCTGTTATACACCAACTTGACCCTAATCATGAATGGGCATCACTAAAGTTCTCAAAAGACGACCCAAAATCTACATAACATTAAAACAGCTGTAATAAGCTCCTGTAATTGTGGTACCCTTTGCCAGGAAATCTGTCATCACTACTCCGTTCTGATCCCAGAAGACTGTGAGCATAACCTTGCCAGCAGAGGGCTCATTCAAACACAAAAACATCAACAATTTAACAACTCTTTTTTTCTGTTGCAGGATAGTCAATACTCAAATTAGCTTTCTTTTAACATGTAGTTGTAGAGTTGGAGCCTGTAACAAGGATAGATTTGGGACTACAGTATCGGTAAATCCCACTAGTGAATTCGGAAAGAATCCAGCT